TATATTTCATTGAGATAAATCTCAACAAAAAAAAAAAATAAATATATTTTTTTAAATAAAATACTTACTGTTGAATGTGGGTGTAGGTGTGAAGAGAATCAAAGCCACCCACACCAGACCCACACCCACACCCACATCCACACCCACACTCACACCCACACCCACATCTAGACCTAGGACAGTTCCCAGTTCTATGAACTGTATATTTTATAAGAACTGGGTATAGCGACCAGTTCTTTTTCGAGAACTGGTTAAAGTGACCAGTTCTTTGACGAGAACTGTGTACACCCGGCAGTTCTTTTTTAAAAACTGCACACACCCGGCAGTTCTTTTTTAAGAACTGCACACACCCGGCAGTTCTTTTTCGAGAACTGGCTATTGTAACCAGTTCTTTTTCGAGAATTGGTTATTGTGACCAGTTCTTTTTCGAGAACTGGTTATTGTAACCAGTTCTTTTTCAAAGAACTGGATTAAGCGTCCGATTCTTTTTCAAAAACTGATTATTGTGACCTTTTTCAAAAACTGACTATTGTGACCATTTTCAAAGAACTGGTTGAACAGATCAGTTCCTATCAAAGAACTGGTAGGCACAGATCAGTTCCTATCAAAGAACTGGTTGGACAGATCAGTTCCTATCAAAGAACTGGTTCGACAGATCAGTTCCGATCAAAGAACTGGTAGGCACAGATCAGTTCCTATCAAAGAACTGGTTGGACGGACCAGTTCCTATCAAAGAACTGTTTGAACAGTTCTCAAGAGCGGAACTGATATGGAACTGTCCTAGATCTACCCACATCCACACCCACACTCACATTCACACCCACACCCACACCCACACCCCACACCCCACGCACACCACCCACACTCACACTCCCACCCACACACCCACACCCACACCCACACCCACACCCACCCACACCCGACCCACACCCACCCACACCCGACCCACACCCAAACCCCACACCCACACCTCACACCCACACCCCACACCCACACCCACACTCTCCATTTGCTTCGAAATCCTATTGGTCGAACAGTAACCAATAGAAATCAAGTTATAGGAAAAATGACTTTCTCAGGGTAAATGCAGGTGAAGAGTTCAAATCTGAGCTGTATTCGTCTGTAAATCTTACTGGTTGAGCAGTAATAAAAAAAAATCAAGTTCTTATAGAAAGGTTTGCTAGGATAATTTTGGTAATAATAATCGGCCGAATCTTCAGCTTACGACTGAACTGGTCTAACTCATTGATTGACTGCTTTCTTCGTACACATCTGCCAGACTAAAAATGATTAAAAGCGTCATTAATAAAGCAGAATGGTGCTGTTACATTATTTGATTCATATTATTCCTGCTAGTATGAAAAATTATTATTTTATTATTTTTGTACAAAAAATTACTAAAACTATAGCTGAATTCGATAAGAAAATATAGTCACATTTTTCACAATAAATTGAATTAAATTAATTAACCTTTCCACTGAATACTTGTATGACCAATCAATGTGGTAGATCATCTAAGCTGTAGGCTTAAAATTCGGCTAACTAATTTTACCCGGATAATTTTTACTATCACATATTCTAGGATGACTCATCTGTCTCATTCACTTTTTGAAGTACACATAAATCTCGAATTCAAATCCGAGATTTCCACATTTATTTTTCATTGGTTTCTGGTCACTCAATCTAGTTTCTATAAAATTAGACCTCAGATTTGAGTTACTCAGTTCAAAAACCTCTTAAAATCTTCTGTGGAAGATCAAAACAATGCTTCTATGGTTGAGTAACGTTGTTTCAGTATTCGACTAATCAGAGTGCAGGCAAAGGACCTAGGACTTCAGATTGTACGTAGACATTTTCATACAATTGAGAAAAATCCTGAAGCATCTGTTATTAGTGAATGCCAATATCTAAGAGTTCATTTTTTAGAAAAAACTATAACCTTCAGCATTAGTGACTAGTGAAATGTTAGGATGTGGGTGGAAGGTGTGTTATGTCTGTGTTGTTTTTTTACACAAGCACCCACATCCTCACAAATAAGCATTCTAATGAATGGACAAAAGATAGAAATGGTGAAATCATTCAAATATCTAAGATTTACTTGAAGTAGTAAATTGTCCTTGAAACCATATATTGATAGATGTGTAGAAAACGTTCAGAAGTCTTTTGGGAAACCAATATAGTTAAGAATGAGAAAATTATTATCAACAACTATGGTACAAATATGTTTTTTATTGCCTACATCTTTCCATATCTCGCTTGACTTTTCGATTACCACTAAGAACTCATCAAAAAAACGCTAAAATGCAAGTTTCGAGTCGGAATGAGACCAGTGCATCGATATCATTTTATGTCGAATCATAATTTATTTGCGATAATAAACGAAGATTTTCAAGTAAAAAATGTATAAAAAAAAAGATTAAAGTAAATGCATAAATCTGATTTAGGAAGATCTCTCTTTTATAATGGTATAGCCTACTGGAACGATTTCAACAGAAATGAAGATGATAATCTTGGCCATTTGTCTCGGACGAAAAGAGTTAAAAATTTCCAAAGATTGACATAAGATTCTACTGTTAAAATGGATTGATTTCGTGAACTTGATGCTCACGTGTGCATTGATGTATCTTTATTTCTTTTTCTTCTTCTCTCGTCTTCATCTTTGATTTTTTTTTGTTTTTGCTCTTCTTTTTTTTTCTTCTTTCCTTCCATCTTTTCCCTCTCCTTCATCCTTCATTCGATTTCATTATTCCATTTTTTTTCTCTTCTCAGTTTTTCTTACATTCTTCTTCTTTTTATATTATTTTCTGTCATTATTTGCTCTCCATATTATGAAAAGTCCTGTATGATTAGCTGAATTTGTTTTCACATATGTTTCAAATATTTATGTGTTGTAATGCAAAAACATGATCTCCTCCTATTTAAGTATTTCCAAGCGTAACAATAAACAGCAATATCCAACGCAAGTAATGCATGTTTCTATTTGTTGTTTCAAAACATTTCTCGAGAAATAACTATGCAGGAAAGTGATTCAGAAGGATCATTTTTACGTCTTACTGGATCACTAAATATACACCTAGAAAAAATAAACTTTGGTCTGTATTGTGAGAATATCATTATCAAAGCAGCCTATGTTTTTAAAAAATAATAATATATTTTGAAAGTGCGTGGATTTTTCTATCAACCTGTATATTTGCCTTTTTGTTTGAATATATATATATTACCAAAACTAGTTTTTTTGAAATTTTTTATCACCATAGAATTATGTTTTGAAAAAAGTAATTATATATTGTGATGAAGCTTGAAATCATCTATCATTCTATATGTTTATTTATTTCTTTACATTAATTTATCGAAAAGAAAATCTGAGTACGGTGAACGCACTGCCAATTGACAAGTACTAAAAATCGTTACTTTTTGTTGCTTGTGAAGTTTCATTTTTAAATTTATTATTCTTATGAATAAATTTTTAAAAAGCAATCACAGATTCGTATACAAATCGAAATTCTCCAGCATCTTGTGCATTTCTTAACTATTTTGAATTTATATGTTGAACAGTACTTCGAGTACTACGTCGACAAATTCTAAAAGCAAGTAGATTTTTTGCTACATACTTTGTTTTGTGTGTCAAAAGTACAAGATGATAGAGAATTTCAAGCTCTATCAGAATCTATTATTTCTTTTTTAGAAATTTATTTGTATAGTAACCACATTTTGAAAGAAGAAAAAACTAACGATTTTTTGTACTTGTTAGTTGACGGTGCGTTCATCGTACTCATATTTTCTTTTCGATAAATTAATTCAAAAAAAATTATAAACATACAGAGTGATAGATAATTTCAAGCTCTATCACAATATATAATTACTTTTTTTTCCAAAAGATAATTCTATCGCGATAAAAAATTTCAAAAGAACTAGTTTTGGTGATAATGACAAAATCAAGTCTGTGGGAATCTGGACATGAGGATACCTTTATTACACTCAGTAGTTTTTGGTAATATATATATATATTCAAACGAAAAGACAAATATACAGGTTGACAGAAAAATTCACGCACTTTCAAAATATATTATTATTTTAAAAAAAAATACGCTGCTATGACAACGATATTCCTAAAATACAGACAAAGGCTTATTTTTTTCAGGCGTAAATATATACGTAGATATCTATAGCTGCTATCGTTGGCTTCATTGATTTCATGGACTTCTACGAAGAGGTTGTTATTAACAACTGACATAAACTAAGTACTAGTGTGCATAACTCATCGAGGTTTACACTGTGGTATAGATGCTTTCTCAGCACTGTGAAACACCGTGTGTTAGAAATCTCCACATTATACAAATAAGAGTTAGCTTAATTCGTGCAGCATTAAAAATATTCTATTCAACATAGCAAACAGATTTAAATCAATGCTTTCTTACTGCTCTTTACTTTGTCTATGAATTCATGTCTTTTGTTGATAGTAATTTATAAAAAGAATATAGTAGACATCACTACCAACGTTTCATCTGTCACGATCCTTGATATGCGACTCAGAGAGAGAAATTCATATTTCTACCCATATATATCAATACTTTCTCTAGGTCTTCTTTCATAAAATACTTTGACCAACGGCAAATTTCAACTACTTTAGTGTTTTTACACGAGTTTGAATAATTTTTGATGGTTTGAGAAATTTGATGTTAAATGCTCGATTCTTTGGATTTAACGTTGAGTTTCAGCAGATTTGACCATATCCTTTCTTTCTTTGATTGTGCAACATTAGGTTTTGTTTGCGAAGTGAAGATTAGCCAAAAACTCTACTTGTCCACATGTTCACTAAACTCAGCAAAGAAGCTGAAAAAGAGAATTCTAAAGAAAACTGATGATTACTCAATAGTATAATTCATTTAAAAAGATCCTAATTGATTGTTAGGCTCTAGAAATATTTTTACTAAAAGAACTTTGAATCTGAAACAAAATAAAAACGAAAGGAAATCGTTTTCATTTTTTATTTTTTAGTTATGATTCTTGCATGTCGAAACAGTAATATCTCGAAGGTAAAAGAGTTACTTGAATCACTAAAAGTTTCTCAATTAAATGAAAATGATCCTTCGACTGGCAATACAGCTTTACATGAAGCAGCAATCAATAATAATAGCGAATTAATTGAAATATTATTGAACACTGCAATATGCCGGTCGATAAGAAATCATAAGAATTTAACAGCCTATCAGTTAACAAACCAAAAACCATTATTTCATCGTCATAGTATTGATCGATTTATTAGCATTGGAAGTGATGACAGTGTAGCTGATAGTATCATTACAGCTGAACTGATGCCTTTATCAACATCTTCAACTATAACGATAGATTGGTCACTCATTGAAGATGATGTAACAATGGTAACAGAGAAAGCCATCAAGTTTCATCATGTATTAGACAATAAACTGAAATATAATGCAACATCTTATGGTGCTCATTTAGAATATGATATTCGTCAATGGACAAAGAATATTAAAGATATATTTATAACTCGATACTTATACCAATCGAAACATTTATTATTAAATCAAGAGCATGAAAAACTCACTTATTTATTTGAGCAAGCTATCGAATCCAATAATGTACGATATCTAGTAACAGCCTATACAGTTGAAAGCAAGTTTTATAAAATTTTCAATCAATATCTTGCCAAATATCTTCTATCTGCATTTAATTCAGAAGAATATAATTATATTAAAAATCAAGATCTCGATGTAAAAATGGAATATATGCTATCCATCACATGGTTAGCATCCATACTTTGTCATAGTCCTCTATTAGTAAGTCAGTATCAGTTTACTGGTACTGTATATCGCGGAATGCGCATTACAAATCATGAATTACAAAAATACAAAATTGATAGATACATTCTAACAAAATCGTTTTTATCAACATCAAAATCATTCTGTGTTGCTGATGAAATCTATGCAAATGGTAATGATCAACTGTCATCATCATCAGAGGATGATCGAATTGTTTTCTGCACATACACAATTAGAAATCAATACAAACAAATGGTTACAGCTATTCAAATTGACAGCATGTCGGAGTTTGAAGAAGAAGATGAAGTACTTATATTTCCATTAGTACCATTTCAAATTCGAGATATCCAAGAAAATAATCAAAAGAAAAGATTGGAAATTAAATTAGAAGACTGTGAGTCAATGTCATATGTACAACCGCAATATCACGACTTCTTGTATGCAAATGATGCATGAAAGCTTTGTCAAGAGAAAATGTAATTGTTTGTTTATCTATTTATTTTATTGTGGAGTTTCATTTTTAATCTTACATAAAATAGAAGTTCATCCTTATGTTTCATTTCATCATTTAGCTATAACATTCAATTTAGCTAAGAAGAAACATTTAAAACAATGAAAGATATCTGTTAACATCATAGAAAACATTTTCACAGACAATGAGATGATGGTGTGTATGTGGGTATTGTCCTTCTGTTCAACCGTACCTACATCCACCCTCTCTATCCTTATATACATTTATTTGCTCTATTACACTTATCTATTATCAAAATAATATCAGAATAATGAAGTCATCTATATTGACAATTTCCAGAAGGTTTACTGGAAAATCGACGATGGGAATTTCGAAATTGGAATTCGGACAGTATTGTCGAATTTTCACTGCATGGTGTCTAAATTCTTGCATGGTTTCAACAATAACAAACTTCATGTGGTATTTTATTGCCAGGAATTTGAGCAATGAAACACCACATGGAGTTTGTTATTGTCGAAACCCTGTAAGAATTTAGACAGCGGCGGAAATTCGACAACTATCCAAATTTCGATTGTCGATTTCTCGTTTTACCGCAAAACTGTGTCTATAGAAATGTAGACATGAGGTTGCTTTCATTATACTTAATTTATGTTGGTCATTCAAAATCAAAAGCAAAAACTAAAATACAAATATACGAGGTGGAAGAGAATTTCACGTGCTTGCCAAATATGGTATCAGTCATTTAAAAATATATTGGTATTTTTATTTTATTTTTATATACCCTTACCGTTACCGGTGTGGGGTGAGAAACATAATACAAAAAAATAGTAAAGAAAGAAAAAAGAACAAAAATACAACAAAGAAAGAGTCTATTGTCTATTTTTCGACGAACATCACGTTGATTGCCACTAAAATTGAAAGAAGATATTATCAGTCTATTAACCTCTGATGAACAGTTTATATAATAGTCATCATACGAATCTCAATTCAATTATAGTAGTTGAAAAGCCATCACTTTGTTTAGTTGATCCTGTTTTTTTTGCACCACTCTTGCTGCCACGCATGATTTGACATGATTTGTAATTCCCTGTGGCTTAAATCTTAGTTTGCAGCCAGGACATCTATATTGTTTATTCTCTTTAACCAATATTTCTGTGACTTTACGTTTTATTGAGCCTGTCAATGCAGAGTGTGGGTGTGGATGTGAAGTAAGAGAAGAAGATTATCCACACCCACACCCTTATTGATTTATTGTTTTATTTGCTTCCAGAAATAAAACAAGCTATTGCTTAACTACATTAGTGATCATCATTCATATATTACAACGATCGTATTTGGTAGTGTTTCATGTGGAATCTCTTTTCATTGAGCAGACATATCTTCTGATTTTATTATCATCATAGCCCATCTAATACACAGTGGCGAGAGCTGCTGATATATAGGGTGTCCAGGAGTTCACTAGACAAAGAAAAATATGAATATCTTCATTACGGCTCCGCCAAACGGACTCATTTTTTTACCAAAGATAGAGACATGTTCATACTTCAAATCCATATGGTCAAGATTAATGAGAACCTTTGTCAAATATCACTATTGGCTTCAAACAACAAAACTTTTCTTTTTCACAGATAGGAAAATAAACAATATACATAACAAAGGTTCTCACTAACCTTGTCCGTATGGATTAGGAGTATGAACATGCCTCTATTCCTGGTAAAAAAATCAGCTGGCTAGCTCGAGCCGTAATTGAGATATTCAAGTTCCTTTTGAATAAAGTGACTTTTGCATTATCCTGTATATTGTTTTTTTCCTACGTGTGAAAAAGTCAAATTTTCTTGTTGAGATCAATAGTGATATTTACCAAAGGTTCTCAATAACTTTGTCCGTATAGATTGGGAGTGTGAACATGCCTGTATTCTTGGTAAAATATGAGCCTGTTTAGTCGAGCCGTAATGAAGATATTCAAAGTCTTCTGTGTCTAGTGGATTTCTGGACACCCTATATATTCCTACGAGAGTCTCAGTTCGAACTCGAACATCGAAGTTCAAGTTCGAGTCGAGCTCGATCTTGTCGAGTTGAAACGGTTTGAATTTGGTACATGTTTACACGGCATCAAGATATCCACTTCACTTCCTATGAGAACAAATACATACCACCAAAGCTGTACTACATTTAATATTAGTTTTCTTCCTTTCTCATGCGCTATTTCAAACAACATTTGGCACATACCTTTACCGGACCGTCGAAAGAACTCTCCCATAAATTACTACGATCTTTCCTTTTGCTTCAAATTCTCCGAGTGTCAAACCATCTGATGAAACCCTTAAGCAAGGTCGAAGCCAGTCATGGCAGCTTTGACTCACGTCATCCACTTCACACTCTCAGAATGCATACAGAAATGAATTTCAATGACAGTTCATTAAACGGCAACTCAGAAGGCCGTAACTTTATAGAAATTAATGGTGCTCATGATTTTGTGCATAATTAAGTGAGAAAAAACGCATGTGATGTGATAGTGTAGACATTAACAGGAGTAGAATTATGATGGTTCATTCGTTTACACCATAAAGAACTATAATGCCAAAGCTTTGTTCAATTATCCCAGCAGTTGCCTCGCTGATAAGGAAGCGAATAGAACCAGAATCGCGTATCATTTCGCACATTACCGTATGCGTAGAAGTCCCATCCACCTTGTTGTATTAGAGCTGCGTTGGCCGTCCATTCTGCACCAGCATAATTGGTTCCATTCATACCAGGAATCCATTTGCTCCAGTTCAGAGCGCTAACCACTTGCCATCCATCGCCGATCATGGATGCACAAAAGGCATCCATTTGTGCATAATTTTTGAACTGCGAGCCCTTCACAGATGGTGTTGTTGCGATATGACCTTGGCCCCAGCCGCGGTAGTATTCTGCTTGCATTGCAGCACCATTGCCATAGATAAAGTAAGGAGGCCGAGGAGTATAGTCATACCTGATGCAAATCACTGGCAACGATGTATCACAATCTCTCAATCCTTGAGGCGAAGTACATCCTGCACAACCGATCTGGTCAATACCAAATTCAGCTGAATGCGTCACTTTGACAATGGCTGTACTTAACTTAGCTATGGGAGAGGAAGAGAAGAGGTGCAAATAGTATTGTAAACGAATATTTTCGTACCTTTCGCAAACATCACGCAGAAAAGAACTCCAGCAAGAAAGCGAAAAAATTCCATGTTGGCTATTTGGTAACACGTCTGAATCTCACGCACGATACTTATATCGTTACTGTATTTCCTTTTCTCAAGCTACCATTCGCTTATGTGCACATCAATGGAGCACATGATTCGCTAACAAGAATGAATAGAACTATCGATACATGAAATACATACGGAGAAGCATAATATTCTGTCAAGCATATATGCCGATAGAAGCGATAACAGTGTTTACCCATGAAATTGAATGCTAACGTACGAATGTGGAATTCACGTCTTGAAGAAATGGGTGTGCATTCGGGCGTGGATATGGGTGTGGGTATAGGTTTTGACCTTCCATGAACTGACACCCATACCCACACACCCACACCACACCCAACTCTATCATGTCATGAAAAATAGAAGCTTTGTAAAAGTTTCAATTATACGCCTTAGGATGTGGGTGGGTATGGGTGTGGGAGGGAGGGTATGCAGGGTGTGGCTGTGGCTGAAGAAAAGGCCCACACCCAGTCACATCGGCACCCATCCTACACACACATCCACACCCTTCATCCATTACAAGAATAGTTTGAATAAGAATCGAATAAATTAATCGTATATGCGCAAAAAAAGCATGATTTTTTTCTTTCTAGGTCTGAGTATGCCTACATATATAAAAGTGTATATGATTACTTAAGCAAAGAGAAGCTGCTTTTCAATGCATAATCAATAAGTTAATGTGAGTGTGTGGGTGCAACACTGATCGCTAGGTCGGCATCAATATTCACACCCACACCCCACACCCACCCACACATCCACACCGACACTCATCCACCCACACCCACACCCCACACCCAGCCACACCCCCACCTCACACCCACCCACGCCCCCACCCCACCCACACTCACACCCACACCCAGCTTTGATGTCGACAACTTATATACTAACGTACCTGTTCATGAAGCCATTGAAATTACTCTTGATATGATATTTAAAACATCTAGTTCTCCATCCATTCCATTTAATAGATCACAATTTAAACAACTGTTAGAATATGCAGTGTGTAATGTTCCGTTTAGATTTCTTGATAAAATATTTTTACAAATGGATGGAGTAGCAATGGGATCACCTTTAGGTCCGATTTTAGCAGATCTATTCATGTCAAATCTCGAACAAAAATTAAATAAATTCTCTACTAACAAACCTTTAACATCCCAGTGAAAAATATTCACTGATTTCAATCGGATTTCTCTGCAACAAAATCAAAATTATTAATATTAATAATCTTGATTTTGTTGCAGAATAATCCGATTTTAATCAGAAAATTTCACACTGGATAGCTAACAATATCAAGTAATAGTCAAGTCATGATCAGCGATAATCAAAATTATCAATGGATTTTAATTTTGATTTTGTTGCAGAGAAATCCGATTAAAATCAGTGAATATTTTTCACTGGAATGGATAAGATACGTAGATGATATATTCTGCATTTTTAAAATTAATCAAAATATTAAAGATTTTCTAATAAGAATTAATAAATGGCATTCAAATATTAAATTCACACCTGAGCATGAGCATGATGATAAATTATCATTCCTTGATGTATTAATTCAGCGTGATAATATTAATAATGTATATAACACGAGTCTCTATAGAAAACCAACTAACACCAATCTCTATTTACTATATGAAAGTAATCAATGTAGAGAATATAAATTAAGCTGAATTAGAACATTACGTAGTTATTCGTATTCATCTCATATGTTCAACAGATGCATTAAAAGAAAGTGAAATTAAATTAATGAAAGAAACTTTAATAACTAATGGTTACCCATCTCATCTCACCAGAAAAGGCATACGTGAAGGAGAAGTCATTAGCAATAGAATCTTAAAAGGAAAATCGAAAGATCTACCAAAATCATCTGAAATAAAAACGGTATATTTCCTAATCGCCTACTATGGACACGAATCAACCATATTAACACATCGAATTAAGCAATTATGCAAGAAACTATTACCACTCATTAAGATTAATGTATGCTTTAGGAAAACATTTACAATTAAGAGCCTATTTCTGCCTTTCCAAAAAGGACTAGATGACTCAAAGAGAAATAAAAATCTTATTTACAAAATATCTTGCTTGAACTGTAATAAATGCTATATAGGTGAAACAAGCAGAACGAAACAAACTCGAATGAAAGAACACGAAGTCGATGTAAGAAAATTCACCAAATCATCTAATGTTGCAAAACACGCTAACATAGAGAACCACACATTCGATTTTACAGGATCTGAAATCTTATCCCTCGAATCGAATTGGAGAAGAAGAACTATTAAAGAAAGTCTATTCACTCATCAAATGCAACATAAGTCCTTAAATGATGTAAAATTTAAATTAAATATTTTTGGATAAAACAATTAAAATTGCCTCTTGCCATGTTTTGAGGGCCCGGATATGTTCTACGAACATAATAATTCGCGAATTATTATTCATCAATCTTCTCTCAATTAATCTATCAATTAACATAATTTCTATATATATGTAGCGTTATTTTTTTGTCTTTTGTTATTCCTGAAGATGATAAGAGTATCTTATCGAAAGCTTGAATAAAATAATATACGATTTTTGTTTAAAATCTACTATGATATTCGTAGCAGTTCTTTACTCACTATTTACTACAGATGTTGTTTTTGTTACATGAAAAAGAATTTTTGTTATTTGTCGAAATAAGTTACTGTATATATATCAAAATAAGATGGAGATTTATTTTTTATTGTTAATACATAGTACGAATAAAAAGCACTTTTGATGCGATAAGAATGCATTTTTTTTTGTACACAAAGTAGAACGCTATCAATATACAGGGTGTTCCAAAAGTCCGATCGAAAAAGAAACGTGATTATCTTTCTAAGTGTTCAAGCGATTTACTTGAGCTTTTGATCCCATATATTTGACTGCGATCAATGCGCCGCAGTTACGCGCAACTGCGACACAGAATTGGCTCTACGCGTAACCGCGACACAGTAGTTAAAAAAGTGACGACATGGGATAGTTCTATTCTATATTCATTGAAGTTTTATTTCATATAAAGTTGTCTATAACAACTTTACCAAATGATCATCTACAAACGCAATAACGAAACCTACCCTTTTCAACATATCTGTAAAAATATGTTGTAAAATTTTTTTGGAAAATTTTCTATAGCAGCCATCAAGAACATGTTAAAATAGTGCAGGATAGTGGAGTGAAGAAAATTCACATAGAACTATTATGTTTGTTACACAGTCTTTGAAAGTCAACATTTACGTTACAGTGTTAAAAAATCCATTGTTCGGGCAATTTTTGTTTTGCGGTAACATTGTCAACAAAAACAAATACTTAATACACGGTTACATTTTCTTTTATTCTAGGATTAAGAAGATTATGCAAGATGATCACTATAATATTTTACAAAGATAAAATTCTTCCGCATTTTAGCCACCAAGTCTGTAAGTTTTAAAGAACATGTCTTCAAAACAAATGCATTAGAATAGGCCATTCATTTTAACGATTACCACGGTCAAACAATCTAATGCAACTCGGTGATTTTTCTTAGAAACATTTCTGAAAGACGTCTGTTAAAAGTTTTATTCTAATTCGATACAATGAACCATAATAAGATCAAAAAGGTTTCAAAATAAAAATGTACATGATACTTTTGCATACATGTTGAAAAGAGTAGGCTTGAGTATTGCATTGCCAAGTAATCATTTTGTTCTTTTGTTATAGACAAATTTATATGAAACAAAACTTCGATAAATATGAAATGAAACTATAAAAACTTCAAGTAAATCGCTTGAGCACTTAGAAAGATAATGACGTTTCTTTTTCGATCGAACTTTTGGGACACCCTGTTTAATTAGATAATTGTTATTTTTCGTATTTATTTGTTTATCGAAGATTTAAGAAAAACTAAAAATATTTATCCAATTTTTTTGTATTTATTTTAGATTGATAAGATAAGAAGTGGTCTATTAAAGACGTCTCTAGATGATTGGCTGATAATAACTTGGATAAATATGCTGAAAAATTTTAATCTATTGATGAACCACTTACTTTTGGAATAGTCGATGTATTTTTCACCTATTTTAGACCCAATTGATGGATTATCTTTATAACATTTAAGTTTATTATCAAATGAATAGTTATTATCGATTGACACATATGATAATGTTATTAACAAATCTAACATGCTCTTGAAATAATACTCGAAAAAAACTGGTGGTGTTAAGGGAGTAATGTTTTTTCAAGTAATAAGCAAGTGTCTGTTCACTTGCTTCAGCTGATCAGCTTCATTTTTTTTCTTTTTTAGTCGAACTATGGTATTAAACAAAAAAAATTTCATATACTTAAACAACAATGGTACTTCAATGAATCAAATAAATTATCAATTGTCAATTATTTCAATGTTTACAATGAACAGCAACAACTAACTTAAAATAACTACACCAAATTCATATACACCAATTGAATAGCTTGATCAATCTTTATTTAATTCAAATTATTTACAACTTACTGATGCACCATTTGACTGATGATTAATTAACTATTAGATAATTCTTCAATATGTTAAACAATATCTCAATCAAGAAAAAAAATTCATTAAATTACGTGTTTCTAAATTTTGATAAAGCTTTTCAGCAAGCTGCTCAAAATCTACTACCAAAAGACTTTGGAACACAATACGACAAGAAACAACAATTAATAAATAATAATTCGTCATAATTTGCTCAATACTTGTGGTATTGGTTTTTATCAAACATCATTTAAATATCATTCAATATAAGTTAAAATCAAAAATAAGTCTCCAAGGTGTGGGTGTGGGCGTATTTAAAGGATTAATCACACCCACGCCCACACCCGTGTTGTGAAAAGCCATATATATTCTGAAAGAGGAGACTCCACTGCATCTAGCTATGATAAAAACTCGACTTCGATATTTCTTCGAAAAATTGGATTCTCTGAGGCTCCCAACTCCCCTTGAGACAAACTAACATATTTTTCTATGATTGTTGTCAATATATTCAGTTGAATGAAATCTACAAAATATTTAGGATTCAACTAGAATTCTTTCAATATATTCTAAGAATTATTCAGCTTTATAACAATTAAATTTTCTACTTTTAATAATAATACTTTATTAGAATAACTAACATGAACAATTAAGATTGATTAAATACAATGATTAACAGAATTGCACAAAGAAAAAATATTAGGAACTTTTCGTAGAATGTTTTTTTCAATGTCGCACATAATTTTATTTGAAAAAAAGATGATCGCTAATTATTTGGTTTAAGATCTTCAACATCAACATGAGGTAAATCTTTGAAGAAAAAATATTTAATATTATATTTTTAAAATAAAAAAAAAATTTAACCTGATATTAATAATTGTAATTCTTGTTCATTAAATATTGATATTAAATTTTTTGGAATGATTTCATGAAAACCTTCTAAAAATGAATTAATTTGTTGTTTAATAGATCCAGTTATATTTTCTTGGCAAACAAATCTTATATATTCAGATTTATTTTCATTTGTAACTTTAATATTTGAACCATTTTCTATCAATTCAATAGTTTTATTAACACCAAATTCATTAACATCTAATGAAAATGTTAAATTTAAACCTAATTGTTGTATATCATTTTCTAATAATCTAACTAATTTTTTATAAAATTCTAAATCAATTAATTTCATATCTGTATAATCTATAGGTTTATCAATAATATATTTATAAAATGTATGTGTAAAATAACAATTCATATATTTCTTATCAAATATAATTTTGCCTATAAAATGTCCAATAAATTTAAAATATTCTAAATAATTTTTATTATAATATGATAAAGGATTTGGCATATATGTAATATGATCACCTGTAGTTTTCATAAATAAACCATGATTTGGATCTAATATTGAATTTGAGATTATTGAATACCATTCATTTAAAATATCATCAGCATCTTGTCCTTCTTCATCATCAAATATAATATGAAATTTATATTTCCAATCTTGTGATGAATATTGACTTAATTCTTTATATGAATCTTCAAATACATTATTACGTTTAATATGTATAGTTAAATATTTATCATTTTGATTTTCTTTTAAACGATCAAGTTCATAATTAAAATATTTTCTTTTAATATCAAAATCAAGTAATGATAGATAATTGATTAATATATTAAATGGTCCTTCATTTAAATGTTGTTTACTTTGGCGTAATATTTGATTTAACACAATACGATGTTTATGAACAAATTCAATAAATTTTGATGTTGGACCAAAACATTCTAAATGTGATGAAGATTTTGATGTTTCACGATCTTTTTTCTTCAAATCAACAGTATGAATAAGAAAGAATACTTCAACAATTGGTTGAATAATTAAAACAGCATGTGAATCTGATAATTTAGATAATGATAATAAATAATCATTTAATGAATCCCATAATTGATTTAGATTTAATAAATCATTTAATTTTGTTTGTTGAAATGATAAAAACTGTTTAGATGGTTCAATTTGTTGAATTAAATGATAAATATCATGAATTTCATTTATTATTTTCTCGTGATGTTGTTCAATTGTATTTGAATTTAGTATTGTTTGTAAATTTATACATATTTGTTCAACACGATTATTTAATTCATTTATTGATTGAAGAATATCATTTTGTTGATTATTATTATTTGATGAAAGAGATAAACGTAATGTTTCAAGACTTTGTGTTAATGTAGAAAGTTCAGTTTCAAAATGTGATTGAATATCAATTTGTTCTTTTTTTGTTTCTTCATTTAATTGAATAATTAGTTTAAGAATATGTAATAAAAATTGTTGATTTCCAGTTTTAGATGTTAATGCAATTATAGATGGTAATTGTAAATATTTTTGTTTAGTATTTAAATCATTATTCATCAATGGAATTGCTTTGTATAAATCAAATAATTTAACAGATTCATCAAATGGTTTATCATCATTTATTGTTGTATTTGATTTAGTTTTTGATAAATAATCTTCAATTTCCAAATGTAATTGTCTAAATAATAGATTAAAAATACAGAATATAATATGTTCAGAAAAAGATTAGATTAATGAGTTGTCTATAGGCATGAGGAAAGTTAGGTAACTCAACTCAATTTAATTCACGAGGGAATGTTTCCAACTGTCAAATCGCGCTTTTCACTTGAGACTATTGTCATTTGATCGGTCTTAGTGAGAAATGAAAGTCTGTTTTGATTTACTGTTCCAATCTTCTCTTGTTGACTTATGAACGTTTTACTCGATTTTCAAACAATTTGAATGGTTGCATTTCGAGATGAAATTTTACTCATACATAAATGTTACAGGCACTAGAAACTTCCCAAAGTTTGAGCCAGAATCAAGGTACTCTTATTGAGGTATCAGTTAGTCATCGAAGTTTCCCTATTTTGAAACATAACAAGAAACAGACTATTTTTTTTCTAAAAATGTGAATATATCGGTAAGAGAACTTTCGCTCGGGCTCAAACTTTGAGAAATTCATAGTGTCTATAACATCTATCATTGAACGAAATTTCAGCTCAAAATTCAAGTAAAATGCTCATAAGCCAACTAGAGAAGACTGAAAAATCAAATCAAAATAGACTTTTTCAGCTGCTCATCAAGATCGATCAAATGACAATAGTCTCAAACGAACTCTATACTTTACTGATTGAATATTTATTTATTTATTATGTTTACAAGAAACATACTTAAATTCTTCGTTAACATCTTTGCTTAATAAATGAATACCATTAATTAATAAATGTAGAACTTTATCTTTAGTAACTTGATTTATTTTGGATATATTTAATAAAAATAAATTTGCAAATTCTAGGCCATATTCAGTACATGATTTTGATATTAATGTTTTAATAAATAAATCTAATAGATTATCTAAAAAAACTTTATTATCGGACAGAATTATTTTATTATTTTCTTGTTGAGAATTATTTGTTGTTTTAATAAATTTTAATGATGAAATATATTTTCTTTTGGTAAGAGTTTGTGATATTAATGAAAGAAGTTTAAATAATTTATCAATCAATTTTTTATTCTTATTTAATATTGGATGTTTAAACATAAGTAATAAAATATCTAATGGTGATGATTGAAAATTAATTTCATTATTATTATTATTATTATTATTATTTATATTTGAATAATTATTAAATGATTGATTTAATTTATAAATTAATTCCCAAAATGATACAACAATTTGTTGATTATTATTTAATGGTAAGAAAAGAAATTCTTCAGGAAAATATTTATATAATAAAATTAATAAATCAAATACTTGACAACAAATCATAGAACATAATTTTTCATCAATAAATATTTCTATTAAATTATCATATTCAATTTTAAAAAGATTTTTATGCATACCAAATGCATTTTCATAATAAATATTTAACCATAATGAATTTAGATTTTTAATTTCTGATTGAAATATTGATTCATCATATTCTATACGTCCAGTAGATTTATTAATAATTGATAATAATGATTTTATAATCCATTGTCTTGTATGTTTATGATAACATAAATTTTTAATAATATTTTGTAAACAATGAAAATTTAAATGTGTATCATTAATAAATAATAAAACAAGTAAACAACATATTGATTCATAATCCAGTAATTGTTTATCATATATATCTATTATTGATGTTTTATTATTTATATTTTCTGTATGATTTTTATATTCTTCATCTTGTTTTTCTAATAATTTAATTATTTTTGATTTTAATATAAAAACAATATCATGTACATATGATCCATCAAGTATGATACTTTCTTCTATCCAACGTGATAATGTTGTATGTCTTTTATATAGATTTTTATTTGCTGTTTGATCAGGTAAACATTTTAATGATTTCGAATCAACAATATCATTTCTAATAAGTATACTATCTAATTGATGAAATGGTGAAAAAGTATTGGAATTTAATTGATTGTCATTAGGAGGAACAAGTAATGGATGTAAAATAGAAATATTCATTGATGGAAATGATGAATTAACTAAGAAAAAAAATAATTGAATGTGTAAGTTATTTTTGTGTTAGGAAAATAAAACCTGTACTATTAGTTGATAGAAAATCAGTCGTAGAAATTCGAATATCTTGAAAATTAGATATTAAATCATTTGATGGTTGATGAATTTTTTCATCATTATTTTCATCATCAGATTGTTCATTTAATGACGTTTGATCTTTGAAAAGAAAAAAAATAAATCAAATAGATAGAAGATGTTTCATAAGTCTTGAGATCGATCTCTCTAATAAAATGTTGGATATTTCAATCATTTATTCTATGAAGACATTACGTGCGTAATGAAAAACAACATGGGAATTTTTTGTTTTACCGATAATGTTCATTAAAATGTTTGACAACTATATATTGTCTCGTCAATGGTTTTTGATAAAATAATCAAAAAAAAAGACGTACATGTCGATTTCTACTATTCTTTTATTTTGTTAAAACTAATTATTGAGTTTGTCGTTTGAATAAATGAGTGAAATATTCAGCATTTTATTAGAAAAAAGATTTCTCATACTTAGATTTTTATTATTAAAAGAGAAAATGTCATTTGAAAGACGGACATAAATATTTAAAGTTCATCAGTTAACGATTATCTTCTGTTTGCATACAAACTAACTTTGTTAAATCTCAACAATTTTTATATCTACCTGTTAAATGAACATTAAGATTATGTGAAATATCTGATTTATGTAATGATTTTAAGTAATTAATAATATTTGATAATGTTTCGATTGATTTAAGTATAAGATTAATTGTATCAATTAATTTTGGATTTGAGATTTGAATATAATGAATTATTTTAGTTAAATCATTAATTAAATTATGTTTATATATTAAATTAATTGTATTATTATTAATAATTAATTTTGATATTGAACATGATTCCATTAATTTATTTATAAAATTAATTAATGTTTGAATTTTAATATATTTTTCATTAGATTCAGGTAAATTTAATATTTTATTTAATGATATTTTAATTTGATTAATTAAATTATTTTGAGATTCAAAATAATGATTAGATTTCGCTAGTGTAATAAGAAATAATTCAGAAAATTTTGTTATATTTTTATCATATTGATTATTTATATTTAATAATAAATAATCAAATATATATGATAATAATGAACATGTTTGATTATTTTCTAATAGAAATGTTTTTGTTGATAGAAATTTGTCCATATTTGAATATGAATTTATTAATTCAGATAATATATATAAGATAGTTGATTTTGTTAATAAACGTTTTATATTATTATCATCATTTATTAAAAGAAAGTTAAGCAAATCATCTAATAAATGTTCAGCTAATTCTCCAATTTGATCATAATTAGTTATTTGATTTGTTTCTGGTCGTACTTGTAAAATTAATGAATTCATTTGAATATTTGTTTGTGTATAATATTCATTTTCCGTCATAAATGATGTTGGTAATAATTGTAAAACATTCGATATAACTTCTAGAAATATATCTGATGAACGTACTATAGCTGGACTAAGTTTGCGTAAAATTAAATTAAATTCATGTGAATCATATTGTACATTATGATTATCTATTAATGCTTGACGTATTGATTTTTTCATAGTTAAACATAAATTCTTCTTATCTTCCATAATATGACGAAATATTAATATAATTAATGATGTATAACCTTGAAATACTGATATTTCTGTTAAATTTAAAATTGCTTTTATTCCACCTTTTTCTACAAATTGCTGAACATATTTATAATTACGTGTTAAACGTAATATAAGACGTAACACTGCATGAATTGTATCAGAATCAACTAACGTACGAATTAAATCTACACAATTATTTATTAATATAAATGCTTGTTCGTCAGATAATAATTCATTTGTATTTATTTTTATTATTGATTTATCAAATGTTAGCATAATTGGTTGTTCATTATGCGTATTTTCATTTATTTGTAACATTTTATTAAATTCTATAAGATAATTTTGATTTTTCATGATTATTTTACATGATGAATTACCATTAAAATATGCATTATTGATTTGTTTATTTTGTTCCAATGGATAATTAGTCCATTTAAGGAGATTTTCATCAAACCATTGCCATATATGATTTGAATTTTCATTTATAATTGAACGATTTTTTGTTATTAAAGAAATATTTTCATATAAATCAATATATAGAAATATTAATGTTAACCATTTAGGAGAGATTTTTTGATTGAATTGAATTAAATATTTAGTTGTATGATGAATTAATATAGAAAAATAATTAATTAAAGAATATTTTTTTGTTATTCGTAAACATGGAAATGGAATTTCTTTAAATAATAATAAAATTAATAATATTCGATTAAATAAAAGCGAATTTTGATGATTATTTAAAAAAATTTGTTGATTTAATAAATCAATTAATAATAAATAATTTGTTTTTATGTCATTGAAAATTATTTCAAGAAAATTTTCACACCATTTAATATCATTATGATGAATTATTGTTAGAATTAATTCAGATATTTTATATATAGTATCAGGTAATTTATCAAGAATTTTTAATATAATTGAATTAATAAAATTATCAAAAAATTCTAATGAAACAAATGTTTGTTGTTGTTGTTCTTCTTCTTCTTGAATTTGTTTTTGTATTTGTGTTTCACCACTTAATATATGAGACAATATTGATAATATATTATTAATTATTTTAGTTGCATGATCTTTTAATAAATATGGTTTATCCCATAATATAGAACATGAATTTGTTAATAGATGAAATGTATGTTTATGTGTTAAGATTAAATAATCTAATGGATTAAATGAAATGTTATCATTTTGTTCTGTTTGAGATTTTTTTGATATTGAATATGGAGATTCAAGAATTGATTTAACATTAACTAAATGTAATATAAATATAAATGCTGAATTAAGAAATTCAATTGATAACGAATCATTTGTATTTTGTTGATTATTTGTTATTAATGATTGACGATTTATTAAATTAAGTGTCCATTCAAGAGCAGAAAATAATGCATCTTGAGTCTTAGATAATTCAAATTGTTGTAACATTAACATATAAGGACGATGATGTTTATCAAATAACATTGGAATAGCAAAACTAAATAGAAAATAGAAAACAATTTTCAATGTAATCTTAACACTGATCTGCTGTTTCATAGTTTGATGATATAGTCAAGTGATTCAGACTCGATTTGTATTTAGCCTCGAATCTGAATAGAACTACGTGATTAGAACACAAAAGATGCCAAATCTTACTGGAAAAAAAATGCTCAAACCTGGATTCGTTCGAGTCTTGATCCAGAAAAATGTGTACCTACAGCTTTCTAATTAATCTCACTTTCATCCTCTTGTGATTCTAGGAACACTGTTTTTTTTACTTTCGAAGCTCCAATATTCGAAAAATTATTGTTATTATTAAATGAATCTGTATTGAATAAAATATCTTACCCAATTGTACAAATAAAAAATGTTAAACGAAATTTTTCAATTTGATTTTCTGTTAAATTTGTATTTGTTGATAAATTAAATAATAATCCATCTTTTAATACTTCTATTAATATTGATGCAACAAGTGTTGCAGCTTTGGTTGGTGTATAAACAAATGATTGTTGATTAAAACATCTGCTAATTGGCTTCATTTGTGATGTTGCACATTGTTTAGCAAGTAAATTGTAAAATTCACTTAATGCTTGACTAAGTTTAGATGAAACATATAATAATGGTTTTAGTGTTTTAATAAATATTTCATTTGTTGTTAAATCATTTTCAATTATATTTGTTTCAAATGAACATAAAGATAAGAATATGGATTTTTCATATATTAATGTTAAACATAATTTATTTAAATTTTTTAATATACGTATACCGATTTCATTACTCAAAAAATTAATTAACAAATTACGTACTGCATTCTTACTTATTTTACAGAATGATATTAATAATGATATATGCGAATGAACTATTGATAATTTATGAAGTATTGTTGTTGATGATGATAATGATATAGAACGAGATAATTCTTCTATTAATAATGAACTATCGTAATTACGATTTGAGTAAAAATCTGTTAAAGAAATTAATATTGTATCAAGATTTGTTATAACCATTTCAATTAGATTATCAGCTTTAATTGAAAGAGTCTAAAATAAAAAGAAACAAAAAAAACAGTCTTTGTTTGATCTCTATTATACTGCTTATCTATAATATCGTCACATGTTCTTCGAGAATCTCGATTTACGAATATCAGTCGAAATTCTTATCGAATGAAAGCTATCAAGACGACAGAATTGTGTCCAATACAGTTATTTTCAACTTGTTCTACTCTTACCCTTACTCTGATTGCTATTTCCAATCTTGTTTGAAATTTCTTAGCACAATGTCTTTTTCAAGATTAGGATGAATATTTTTGTTGATTAGGCAACGAAGAGTCTTTATAGTTTGCTTTTATGCTTATCCAATGTCAATAGAACATATTGTAGAAGGAAGTTAACATTACTTCAAATAGATTAGATTTATCCTTCGAAAGGATAAACACGTAGTATGCGACCAGAGCCGTAGTTTAATAAGTGGTGCGAGGGCTACGATGTTTCTCTGCTGTTAAAATTCCTATAAGAAACGTCCTCCTCTTTGTAAAATTTACGTTGAATAATAGTAAAAAGGTAAACTATATCGATACTGCATCGTTCCTGTTAACAGTGCCGAATCATATTCGTGCATGGTCACAGACTAATTCAAGATCTACTCCTTTTATTATTAACTACCGATTAATTGTATCTACATATATCTCTACATTGTTTTTTTTTTCAAACTGATCAAAACTCTAATTATATGTAATTTACAGATATCATCTAGCTTAATTAAATTGCATTTAGATATATATTCGAGATATTCAATATTATAAAATCAATTAATCGCTTATAGATGATGTCATATATAAATAATTAAACTTACGAGTATTGATTTACAAAGTGCAATAACAGATTGACAAGCTTGACTTGATGGAAAATCAACTGGTAAATATTTCATTTGTAAAATCTCAAATAAAGGTTTTAAACCACCTAATCTAACAAATTCTCTTCCATGATCATCGGTTAGATTATTATTAATAACACCTTCGATTAAGCACGTTATATTTGTTATATAATCAACTAATGGTATAGATATTCGAACATTTGTTGTTGATAGATTTGAGTTGTCATTGTTACCCAATTCAACAAGTTTTTCAATTAAAATAATTATTGATATTATTACTGGATAACGTAAAATAATTTGATGTCTTATTAATTCATCAATAGAATTTCCAAAAATTAATGATGTATTATTATCATGTCGTTTTATCATAATTGGTAAATATTTCGGTAATAAAAAAATCTCAAATAATTTATCAAATGGTTTAAATTTAATAAAATTATCTAAACCATGTTTATTTAGACATAGTCCAGAAAATATATTTGGTAAAGATTCTATAATATCTTTTGAAATTGGTAAATCTTTTTTTAAAAGTACATACATTAATATATCAGCTAAACCATTATCTTGTAATAATGATAATTTTAATGGATTTTGAAATATAAATGATATCATTATATGTATTGTTAAATGAAATAATGATGAACCATAATATTCAACATTACTTATTATATGTTTGAAGGAATTTAATAATGAATCATTCATTATATCATGTGTTATTTTAAACATTTCTGGTTCAGTAAAGGATTTTTTAAAATAATTTAATATCGATTTAAGTAATGCAATACGTTGATGATAACATTTTGATTGTGAAATTGATGATATTGGAGATTGTATATCAATTATTGTTGATGTTGTTTCTTGGTTAATGTCTGATATATCAATTATAAATGGTTGTTCTTTTTTACATTGAGTTATTTCATACTAAAATATATAAAGAATATTTTTATTCAGTAATGTTGTTTTTATTTATCAATAAAAAATTTTAAAATTAAAAATGAGTTTTGATCAGAGACTTTTATTGCTAATGAAAACTCCCTCATGCTCTATGAACCGTTCGAAAACTACCGGTTAACTTCGGTTATTTTCTCAATCATCAATTAACCGAAAAAAAGAAGCAGTCTGTCGTTAGCTGTTCGATTACTTTTCTGATTAACTGGGCGCTTAACCGATTCAACGAACGATAAAATAGTTGAAATTAACCGACAGTTTATACAATATTGATGAGTAGTCAGACGATGCAAGCAACGATTGATTCTGCTCAGTCAAAGTTTTAAAACTTTTGCTTGCATCTTCAACTAGTCTTTAGTAGACACGGGCAAAGTTGTCTTTTTTTGAAATTGAAATTTTTCACTGTGTGACTAAAGAGTAGTTGTAGATTATTCACACGTATCATTAAACTGGCCGCACCCACACCCATACCCATAACTTACTTGGAAACGATTAATAAATACTTGTAAACCATTATTTGTTTGAAATGAAGTCATATCTAATGTTGTTATTAAATCAATAATACGTATAGCTCGTGTAATCAACTAAACAGAAAAAATTTTATTCCATTAAGAGAAAATTTTTCTCTATTTACCATAAGAAAATCTTGAGAGTTATCATAATAATTAATAATTTTTATGAATGATTGTGTTATATCACAATTAACCAAAGCTTGACCACTTTTTTCATCTTTTGCTAAATGATATAGAAAAGACAATAATTCAATTGATAATGATTGTGGAAATCGATCGTTATTATCATCTAATCAATGCAAAACAATATTTCAATCAAATAAGAAAAAAAACTATTTTACTAGTTAATTTCTCAATACATTCTCGTACAAATGTTGGTAAAAATCCATGATATGAATTAATTTGTGTTACTTTAATGATTTCTTCTAAATATGATGAATATCTTAAATAAAAATAAAACATTTAAAACAAAATATTTTTTTTAAATTAAAATTTTACTTTATTGTATTTTTAAGATAAATCATTGAAGTTAAAGTTTTTAATGCTGATACTTTAATATCCTAATATAAAATAAAATATTTCATTACTTATTTTCTTTTTCTTTAAAGTTACTGTTAATATTGGATTTTGAATATTTAATATTTCAACAAGTTCTTCAATTAAACCATCATATAAAATATTATTTGTTTCTTCTATTGCAACAGAATAAACTAAAAGAAGAAAACAAAAAATTTAATAAATTTAGTTTTCTTTTATTTTTTTTTTACTAAGAATAGATAAAGCTTGTAAACGAGCTTGAATACATAATAAACGTTGATTAAATAATGAAAATGAATAAACTAAACGAAGATTTGTAAATAATTTTATTTGTTTGTCTTCAGATAATTGATGTTCATCAAGAATCATTTCCATTACAGAAGATGCATTTGATCCAACCATATAAACATTTAATATATCAATTTGTTTTGATATTGATTCAGATGGAATTGTATACGAAAAATGAAAATTTGTTACATATTCAGGAAAATTCTATGAAAAAAAGGTAAATATATTTAAAATATGTAATTTTATATTTACTGATGAATTTTGAATACTACAGCAACGAACTAAATCGAAACCATTTTCTCGACCACCCCACGTCTATGGAATAATAAATAAATAATTATTTTCAAATAATATTTAAAATTACTTCAGCTAAGAAACTAAGTCGATAAATCAATGCTTGTTTGTTATCAATTTTAAGTCTTGTTATAAAATTTGAACGTTTACTAAATACATATAAAAGTGATAAAACACCACATACAATATTTAAATCAGATGATTGTAATAATATAATTAAATATTCAATTGAATTATATATATGGCGTGAATATGAATGTTCAATTAATAAGGTTGTAAAATGAAGAATATCCACTATTAATAATTTCAACTAAACAGAAAAAAAAGTTATCTTTGAGGAAATCAACACTTGTCAAATAATTGAAATTTAGTTTATGATCATTGTAATTATAGAACTCTTAGTCATATAATTAACATTCAAGAATATTTTTGGATTTTTTAGAGACAATATTTGAAAATTGTACTTATGTATCTATTGAATTATTTATAATCTATTAAAGCAAACCTCTTCATTTTCTAGTTTGTCACAATTGAGCATCCATGTTCCACTTTGAATACAAGCTTCTTCTAGAATTGAATCGAATAAATCTAATACATCAATCCAATCATATAGTACACACTAAAAAGAAAATACGAAGAGAAATTTCTTTTTTATTTCAAATCTAAAAAATTTATTAATATCTAATTTACTGTTCCAATATGCCAAATAGTTATTGATTTTAATAGCTCATGAAGTTCTTGCCGATCACAACTTTTTAATTTATCAATAAATAATTTACAATTAACCGGCTATAAAGAAAAAAAGGCAACAACATTTTATAAAGAAAAAAAAATGAGAGATAAACTTCTTACTGGTTCTGGTAGATATTTTTCTAATTTCGATTGATCAATTTTCATATTTGTTACCAAATACAAATAACAAAAACCATCTGCAACAAAAACAAATAATAACAAAAAATATCCTCCATAATTTCACGTGAGTATATATACAAATGAAGTGGAGATGTTTGTCAACGACAGAAGACGGACGATATGATAATGAATCAGATACAACATTTTCTCTACATATTTATAACAAGAAAATATCCAGACACAGATGAGTGATTAGGGTCATCATATGCAGCATCTTTACGACCGTAAACGGTCAAAATATGGGCTGTATATATGCCGTATTTTGTCGCGACCTGACCCATGATCTACGCCCGTGTTTATGTCGTGTTCGTATTAAACAGCGTGTTTACAGTTAATATACGATGACCATATACGACCGCTTTTACGCATCGTATATGTCTCTATACAGTCATTTTTAGTCTACTTCGAAATGCAGTTTATAGTACTTGAAAATGTTTCCTTCATGACTAAATTCAGGTGACTCTGTTTAATCAAATTTACACCATGTACACCCTTAAATACAGTTGTAAGATGCCTTAAACGAGCGTTTTTAGGATCTTACTAGCTACCTCTAGATATGAAAAATTGTATAATCCTATTATCATGACATGCACTTTCTTGTATTCCTGTTTCACGCTTAACGTTCGGGGGAAAGTATCACCAACATACACCCATTAGCTTCTCGTGATATCAGGTTTTGTGTAATTTGATATAACTTCAAGTTTTAAAAATGACATCATGTTTGGATGTACAGTTGACTAATTACATAAAACAACATCACATATCGAAATGTTATTGGTGATAAGACAGAACGTTAATTAATGTTATCGTACTACATATTTACCTGTTACTGAAAGAGATCATTCTTTATTCTTTAATTTTTCTTTAGTTTTTAAAAATAAAGAATTTATATATCTTAGTTTTCTAAATAATAAAGATCTTTTTATTTATTTTGATTTTAAACATATAAATAATAAATTTATCTTACGAGTAAAGATAAATTAACACCCGATTCTAAAGCTTATAACAAATAACGCAAATGGAATTATTCATGCGATTCTTTATTCCTAGACGTATGCTGGATTTACTGCCGTAAACAATATTTACAAGGCGCACTTTGTTTACATAGAAAGTTTAAAAAACTGATAGTCAATTATTTATTGAACTCTTTGATTTTTATTCGACGTAAAATAGTTACATTTTTTATTTGGAACATAGTATTTTATGATATATCGAGAATGAAGCTTTTTCGATTTCCATAAGCAAACCTTTCTCACCTAGGTTTGTAAGTGATTCATGTGGTATATCGTTTTCATACATGATTTCGATGCAAATTTAATGATGTCCACGAAATTGAAATTTTGCAAATTATCAATGACTTTGAAATATATCAAAAAATCTATCCGTTTGACCATTAGAAATGGCATTTTTTTTTAAAATTTCGGTCATTATTTTTTATCATTTTTTTATTTCATCGGTCATACCAAGGGGGAACAAATTGATTTCAATAGCTGAAATCAAGTTGAAATCACTCGAAATCATCTGAAATCACTTGAGATCAATGACAATCATTACTTATGTATTCATGTCAATTTCTCAGACTTTAGAATAAGCAATAAAAGAAAACAAGAGTAACAGTTTCTAATATAGTTTTTGTTGATTTTTATCACAAAATGAATAGTGAATTAACGATAAGTGCTCAGACCTTTATTCATGATAAGCCAATATTGGGACTCTACATTCATATTTATTATTATATCGAGTCATTCATGAAGTAGATGATGTAAATAGCTCTGTGTATGAGCGGGGAGAAACAAACGGATTTCGTGATTTCAAATTGATTTCAACTATTGAAATCAGTTTGTTCCCCCTTGATATTATAATCTTACCAAGACAAAAGTATAGGATGCAATAATTTTCGATTATCCAGTAATGGTCAGCAAAAAGATAACGTCTCGCCTCTATTCAATTCCGATTCGAAATAACTGAAATGGTGACCCACTCAATTCCAATTTCAAATAATACTGACCGATTCCAAATCAATAATCGAAGCTGGAGCTGGTGAATGAAAAAGAGCTAGGATCAATCGGCGACTTGCTAAAATTCGTATAATTACTGGCTCGAAATAGTGGTGGTGACAACTAAGACAACAAGCGTGAACACAGTACAGCTAAGACCAGTCATTTCATACAGCTAGCATCTCATAATGTAAAGGCATTTGAAAATGCAAAATATTCTTACAACTATGGAGGGATGTAGTTTCCGGCGTCAGGGTTAAAATCGATTAAGCGGGTTAGCGTATTAGAGTCCTAAGGTGATGACCAGCTTTTCCCATTATTCGCATGCCTTTCTGCTAATAGAAGCCAGATGTGCTAACACATCGGTAATCAACGTAGGTTTTTCACAGTTTCACCGTTCCCATCGTTAGAGGCATCTAAAAAATCTTTAATAAAAGCTCGAGAAAAAAAATGTTACGTTCACAATCTAGGTCACTTCTAACCGGAAAATTGACTTTGCAAGTTATCGTTAGCGGTTAGGTGCCGTCTTAATAGGAATCGACTACAAATCAAGCCGAGCATTAGTAATACCAGTTCACCATACCACCAGGTGAATGGAGACCGTTGCGATCGGCTTATGATGGATCGCTAGATGGTTCACCCTTTATGAATCAGCGAGAATGATCAAAAATGCTTAGAAGTAAAGGAAAATTATGCAAAATCATAAATAAAGAGGAATCACAAGCAGTAATGGCAATTATTGAAAATCAAGAAAAAATCCAACGAAATCAGTGCAATTCAAAGCTTTACTGTCAGCTTTACTGATGAAGATTTTCTATGGTTTACACTCACACTCACACTCACATCCACACACACCCTCACACTCACACCCACACACCCACACCCACACCCTAGAAACATCTTTTGTGCCATTTCTATCTTTAAAAAAACATGTGTAAATAACACATTTAATTGAGATTTTTCATCTGAGTATAGAGACCAGTAAGCATTACTCTATTCACTGTCAATAGTTATTTTCTTCGAATTGCAAGAAAAATAAAACTCCTTGCGTACAGCTGTTGAGAAGCCTTACTTACTCATAATTTGAGTTTGATTGACTAGCAATTTTAACCATCATTGCTAGTGTGTTTCTTTAAAGAATTCTTTGGGAGCTTCATTCAACATGGTATTATTCTGGTTGTTATTTTACAATGTTTTTATTTTGGTGGTTTTTATTTATTTTCAGAGATAAGTAAGGTCAAAAGCAATTGCTAGATTATGAAAGTATGAGCTTTAGCCATTATTGTACGTCCGTCATTTGAGCAAAAAAAACTGTTGATGTGTACATTAGAAGAATTACATACAATTTCTAAGATGCAAATAGACGAAATCAAAACAAAATCATATCTGCTATGGAGAAAGCATCCAAAGTCAGATCAGATTATAGATGTGGATTTCCTTATCACATGGCCACACTTACATAGATCAAGAGCATTCAAATTTTTAAATTATCACTGATCTCATGTGTTCTTGTCAAATGTTGAAACATTTGATACTATGGTTTGTTTCGATGATGTTTTTTTTTCTAGATTTCAAGGACTAGAAGATGAAATCATATTCATCTACTTGTGAATACAAATGAATAAGTTGTTGTTACAGGGTGTCTCATAAGTTGTGGCAGATTTTTTTAAATCTAATTTTTGATGATAATGAATACAAATTAAACTCAAACTTATACATATGACACGGCTTAGCATGTACTTTTATTTCATATATTTTATTTGGATTAGATCATTGAATATACAAGAAAATAAACAAATTCAATGAACATACCCTCCATTGACAAATATCAAAAGTCTGCATTTTTTCGCTACTTTGTTAGTTTTTTCTCCAATTACTATTCCTATGGGAGTAAGTTTTTACAAAAGAAATCACACATTCTGATAGCACTTGAAATGCTCTATGATATTATGTATTAATACAGTGTCTTAAATTTAAGTAGCGAAAAAAAATGCAAATTTTTTGGGCTAGTCGATTCGGAGTATATTCATTGTATTCAATTTTATTTCAATCTATAAACGCAAGAAAATAAGTAAATAGACAGGGTGATAGAGAATTTTAAGCTCTATCAGAATCTATAGTTACTTTTTCATACAGATCATTCTATACGGATGAAAAATTTTTAAAACTAGTTTTGATGACGAAGGAAAGATCAAGTCTGGGAATCTGGACATGAGGGTGCCTTCGTTGTCTTCAATTTATTTTGGTAATGAAAAGGTCAAAACTAAAACCTAATTCTACAGAATGATAGAAAACTCCGCGAGCTTTCAGAATATGTAATTAGTTTTAAAATAACTTATTTTTATAGTGACAATATATGAGAAATACAGAGTGAAACTTTTGTCGGGGTATATATATTGTAACACATTGATGGTGTGCTTATTTTGCACATGTACCAATTTCTTTATTTTTTTGTATATCCAATGATTAAATTCAAATAAAATATATGAAATAAAAGTACATGTTAAGTTGTATGATACGTGTAAGTTTGAGTTTGATTTGTATTCATTATCATCAAAAATTAGATTTAAAAAAATCTGCCACAACTTATGAGACACCCTGTAATAGAAAGGACTTTCTGGCCAACCACCTGTTTATGAATTCTTTCTCACTAATGCATTTCTTTTTCTTCTCTAATAATACATGACTTTGCAGAACAAGAACATATAAGCACTCTCTTCTATAAATATTCGATGATAATTAACATTAAGAGCAGAAGCAGATATTGTTCTGTCTTAAACCATTTTTTTAGCGCAGTTCTCCCAGAGAAACATTTGAATTTCCTGAGAATGAACGTTCAACTAGGAAAAAAAAGTGATATAGTTGTTTGCATGATACGAACACAAGTCAATGCCTGAGTATCATTTTATTTCAGAATAATTCTACTCGCAAGGACATCATGGAAATCAAGTTTTACCATTATTCTTCATCAGAAACACAAGAACAATC